CCATGTGGGCACAGTCCCCGCCTGGACAGTCCCTCTACTGAGGGGGCGGGAGGTGGCAGGCCCGGCTGTAGCTGTCACCGCTCCCCTCTAGCAGGGCTTCCCTGGGAGGGCCACGGGGCCACGGGGCCGGCTGTGCGTGGTCCGTCTCGGAGCCATCAGGCCTGTTTGGGGCTGCCTGTCACAACCACAATACTCACAGAGGCCCCTTCTCGTGGCCTGGCCTTGACCCTTCCTTGGAGGGCACTTGGCTCCCCAGAAGAGCAAGAGCAAGCCTCCTGGAGTCCCCTCTTCCCTCCTCCCAGAGTGAGCCCCTGCTCCCCCACCAGCTCCAGGCCAGCTGGGCCTCACAGGAGGAATCGCACACGACCGTGACCATTCCCAGGCCCCGGAGGTAACCGCAGCCATCCTGAGCCCATCTGGCGGACCGGGGCCTCCAATCCGCAGCCCCTCTGGGAGGGGTGCTTCGGTCACAAGGGCAGTGATGGGAGGGGAATCGGAGCTGCCACCCAGACCCGTGTGGCGCAAACATGAGCTGGCCCATCAGGGTGCTGCCCGCAGCAGCCCTGTCTGGTCCTGGGACCTGCAGCCTCCCCGGTGCCTGTGGGCAACAGCCAGGAAGGCAACAGGACCAGCCCCCCCGCGACCTGCACTCAGACCCCAAGTGTCTCTTCAGCACAGACAGCGCATGTCTGAGTCCCTTGCCCCCCGGAAGCAGCCTCTCAACAGAGTGAAAACAAATCTCTTGTCTCCAAACCCAAGGGCAGAAGCTCAGGCTGTCCTGCACTCGCCTGGCCCAAGGGCAGCCCTGACCGGCCATGAAGAGAGGACGGCCCGCCCAGTGCGGACTACGCAGGCCGGGTGGCTACACGAGCTGATGTGGGGGGCACTCGGGAAACCAGTGACCACCGGCCTGTGGCACTGCCGACTCGGCCTCGGCGGGCTGCACACCCTGTATCGGGGCCAGTGCGCCGGGCAACTCACTCTGCGCCTTCCAGCAGGTTCGGTCTGGGCACACCTGGGGGGGCTGTCCCCAGGGAAAGGGCATCACTGCTTCAAAATCTGGAGTCTGTTTCCGCAAACAATAGCAGGTCTGCCCAGGAAAGGGACACGAAGAGCACCCGAGGGGGTCAGGCAGCTCAGCCCCCCAGGGTGGGCCCAGCGGCCCTGCTTCGCCACCAGGCTGGGACTAGACGGCTCACCTGAGTAGCCCAGCAAATAGGGAACGGCCAGGGCTGGGAGGGGGGGGCAGTGCAGGGGTCAGGGTGTCTGGAAGCAAATGGGCCATCCTCTCCAACTCCCCAAAGCAAACTGGTGAAACTCACTCAGGTGGGCAGTTACACACACCTGGACATGTGACAGACGCAACGCTGGAGCCCAACTGGTGCCCCCCCGCCTGCTCCCATTCTGAGCTCCAGGTCCCAAGCCCAGTGGCCCCCGGCGAGTCACAGGAACCTGAATGTGATGTCACAGCAATGCGGTGGCCAGCTTGAACCACGGGGGCCATAAAAACAGCTGGAGCCGGAATTCCATGGTCGGCCTTTTAAAAAGCAGCAAGACGTAAAGCTGGAGTCAGAAAGAGCTGCGTGCGCTTCCGCCCACCGCTCGCCCGCCCCAGCTGCTCGCCAGCCAGGTCCTCCCGTGGCCCCAGGGCTCCACACCCCGCCCCTCGGCCTCCAGGAAGACCCAGGGCTCCGCAGCTCCCAGACACCACGGGGACCTCTCACTCAGGAGGCGGCGGGAGCCAGCTGGGGAGGGAGCCCACTCAGGGACCGAGCTGTGGAAACGGCCTCGCCCTGCTCATTGCTACTTTTCCGGCTTCGGCGAAAGGGACACTACATCACTGGCGACACCCCCACAAGAACACGAGGGGAAATGTCAGGGCCTCCGTCTGGGCACCTACTGAACGCGCATCGCCAGGCGGACAGGCCTGGGCCCAGCGGGTCCACTCTGGCTTCTGTGTGTGGACCCAGGGGCGGGGCCTGGCCGCGGGTGGATGAGAGGAAAGTCATGGGACGAAGGTCCCCCCGAAATGCTGCCCTCTACTGCCCATCCTATGGGACAGACAGGGGACTCCTCTCCTCTGCAGAGGAGGACACCGAACTGCCCAGGCCCAGAGACGGGAAGAGGCCGAGCTGGGCCAGGGCAGCAGAGGCTTCGGACTCCTGGTCGGGCTTTTCTCTGGACCCCGAAGCCTCGGGGTCGGGCCAGCTTCCTCAGGGAGAAGAGCGGGGGTAGGCCGCAGGCCAGGGACCAGGGTACACAGGACAGGGGCGTGTCCTCCCAGAGGGGAGGGGTTGGGCTCGCAGGCTCACAAGAGGAAGAGCGCCACGGGGCACACAGCACCTCCCAGCTCCTGAGAAGTCCCACGCGGGGTTTGAGGAAAAAAGCGTCTCCCCAAGAAAACCTGGACTCCATCCCTAGGGAAGCTCTCTCCCTCTCCGCTGTCCCACCAGACCCTCTCCGCTGCCCCTCCGGACCCCCTCCCCTCTGCCCCTCCGGACCCCCCCTCCTCTGCCCCCCGGACCCCCCCTCCCCTGCCCCTCCAGACCCCCCCTCCTCTGCCCCTCCGGACCCCCCCTCCTCTGCCCCTCCGGACCCCTCCCCTCTGCCCCTCCGGACCCCCCCTCCCCTGCCCCTCCGGACCCCCCCTCCCCTGCCCCTCCGGACCCTCTCCTCTACCCCTCCGGACCCCCTCTCCTCTGCCCCTCCGGACCCTCTCCTCTGCCCCCACCAGACTATGGTCTCGCTGGCTGCTCAAAGCATTCCTGGGCCTCGAGTCCAGAGGTCAGAGGCCTGTGCAATGGCCACCACGGGCCTCCTGGCCCTCCAGCCCTCGGACAACATGGACTTACGGCTGTGCTTCGCCAAACAGCCAGGAGCCCAGAACATTCAGGTAGCCGGTGGGCTCGATTGTCCCCACTTTACAGGGAAGGAAACTGAGGCTCTGGGGAGCAACATCACCCGCCCAAGGTCACCTAGGTGATGAACAGTAGATTTGGTCTTCAGATCCAGGAGGGCAGGTGTGCCCAGGCCCTCTCCAGAGGGGGCTCCCTGCGCTCCCCACCGCTGCTCGGGACACGCAAGGTGGAGCCGACCTGCTCAGAGCAGGGCTGTGCTGGGATCAGGGCCCTGAGGAGCTCAGGGGGACGCAGTCAGCCCCAAACAGAGCCTCCCAGGAGTGCGGAGGGGTCAGGGCGAGGGCCTGACCTGCTGGCTGTGACGCAGGGCACTGAGCAAAAGCTTCGGACTCCCTTCGGGAAGGTGACCTTTGCTCTGCAGACTCCCTTCTCGATGGACCCCCCGGGGTGGACGGAGTGTCGGGTGGGTCTGTGAAGGGCTGATGCTGTGAGGTGAACAAAGGCCACCGAGGTACCCGGACCCAGCCACAGGCCAAGGCCACGGGAGCACACTGACTCCGTGACGCCAGATTCTCGCAAAGCTACCACCGTACCCCTAATTGCTAACACCACAAACCTTCCATGCGTACCCCAAAAACAGTGACAGGAAATATTTTTAGTGTTTTCCTCTTCTGGATCCAAGGAAGCTATTTTTAACCACTTTCTCAGACTTAATTTTCAACTTTACCCTCCAGAGTTCTCAGGACGCACCATCCTGTCCTCTCCTTGGCCAGGCGACTAGAGTCGGCACCTGCCCCCTCAGCACGCCTGCCGCAGCCCGCCCCGCCCTGAAGCCAGACCTCTCTCTCCGTGCCGTCGGCGGGTCCGAGTGTGCAGTCCTGGCTGGGATGCTGGGACATGCTGTGGCCCATATGACACGAGGGGGACTTTTCTCACCTGCCCCTGGCCCAGAGGCAGGGAAGGAGGCCGTGTCCCTGCGTGTTTGTCACAGACTCTGGGTCCTTGCATCCCTCCCGCACCCTCACATGACCCATGAGCCGGACCCAGAGGGGGTGCCTACACCCACAGCCAAGTAGGGAAGGACCGAAGACCTTTCGTCTAGCCTCACCCGCTCCCCGTGACCCACCCACCCACGAGAACCACACTGGGCTTGGCTCGGGCCCGGAGGCACCCAGGTCCGCCCCGGCTGCACCCTTGGCCAGCACTGCTCCCCCAGGATGAGGTCCCCGCCAGCACGGCCCGGCGCTAGCTTCCACCTCATCAGGGCCTTTTACTTACTGCAGCTGCTGCCCCACGTGCCCACGACAAGCTGCCAGGCCCACGCGTGCTCCACAGGGGGCCCGTGTCTGCCCTGCCAGTGAGGGTGGTCAGGCGGCTGATCCCCACGTGCCCGCTATGAGCTGCCAGGCCCACGCGTGCTCCACAGGGCGACCTGTGTCTGCCCTGCCAGTGAGGGTGGTCAGGCGGCTGATCCCCACGTGCCCACGACAAGCTGCCAGGCCCACGCGTGCTCCACAGGGGGCCCGTGTCTGCCCTGCCAGTGAGGGTGGTCAGGCGGCTGATCCCCACGTGCCCGCTATGAGCTGCTGCCCCACGCGTGCTCCACAGGGGGCCCGTGTCTGCCCTGCCAGTGAGGGTGGTCAGGCGGCTGATCCCCACGTGCCCGCTATGAGCTGCTGCCCCACGCGTGCTCCACAGGGGGCCCGTAAGGGTGATCAGGCGGCTGATCCCTACGGCCAGTCAGGCCAACACTTCCCACAGACTCACCTCCTTCATTGTTCACGAGTACGGGAGGCAGAGCCCACGACCACGGCTCCTCACAGACAGACATACCCGGTCATTCCAAGGATAGGGAACAGTGCCCACTCAAACCCAGAGCCCGGGCTCCCGGAGGCCCTGACTCACACCTCCAGAGTGACCACCCAGAAGAGCGGGGTGAACGGAGTGTTCTCTCCAAGCTCTGCTGTGGCCCGGGCTCAGGCAGCTCCGAGAGCAGGGTCCCAGGGCAGCCACTGCCATCTCACTCACTTGGACTGGAAGATGGGTCCATTATCATTACGTTTTTGAAAAATCCAGCACCCGCTGGCCAACTTCAAATGGTCCGGCACCAGCCGAGGGGACGACGGTGCCGCCGCGGCCTACCTGCGTGAGGACGTCCAGCTGGCCCACGATGTGCTCCAGCGTGCTGGTCAGCGTCTGCGGCATGCTGGCAGGCTCCTGCAGGGGGCTCTGCACCGACTCCTGGCTCCTGCCTCGGCCCGGGGGGACGGGGAAGTCCACTTCTGGCTAAAGGCAGCGGAAGAAAGGGAGCCCTCAGTCCTGAGTGAGCGCTCACGGAAACTGCGCGAGGAAGAGCCCCTGCGAAGGGCTGACAGGAAAACCAGCAGCACATGTGAGAAAATGAGCTCCGAATGTTGGGAAACGGCTACAGCCAGGACCCCGCATCGGGACGCTCTCTCTTCTAGGCCGTCCCTTCTGAGCAGAGGCCACCAGTGAGGGGCTGGACGGCTGGGAGGGACCCGCAGGTGGACCGGGCGCACTCAGCAGCTGTTGGAGGCCCTGGCCTGCTTCTGATGGGGCTCGGGGTTTCTGGCGAAGATCCTTCAGCCCCCGAATGCAGAAGCCACCCCCCCTCCGAGGACAAGTGATCTCATAGGGGGACTCTTCCCAGTCCAACGTGTGTGCCCCAAGTCAGGCACCACTCTGCACACACAGAGGCTTCTCCTGACCTGGGAAGCACCGGGTTCCTACGGACATGGCCAGCAGACGCCCCAGTTTGGTCTGGGAACCTGCAACCCCTCCGAGGACTTGTGCCCTGTGGGAGAGCCGTGCTCCATGAGGCTCACACTCGTGGCTGGGCCCAGAGACCCACCAAGGCAGCCACACTGGGCTCGGGGTTTATGTTTTTTAAATTTTTTTTCTTTATTGATGTTTAGACAGAGAGGAAGGGAGAGAAAGAGAGAGATAGAAACATCAATGAGAAAGAACATCAACTGGCCGCCTCCTGCACGCCCCCCACTGGGAACCTGGGCATGTGCCCTGACGGGAAATCGAACCAGCAGCCTCTGGGTGCATGGGTTGACGCTCAACCACTGAGCTACATCAGCCAGTCTGGGCTCAGTGTTTTAAACCACAACCTCGCTAAGGGGCATCCAAATGCTACCATGTCACAGCCAGCATCCCCAGTCCTCCAGGGCTCTCGGCCTGCCACCTTCGGAAGCAAACTCAAGCAAGGCACCAGCTCCCCCTGCCTCCTCCGGAAGCTCCACCCCTCCGCGGCCCTCCGCGGCCCTCCGCGGCCCTCCGCGCCAGGAAGGCTCGCGCCCACCCCTCTTTGCCCTTGCTCTGAGCAGCCCGTGCTCCATCGCTGCCTCCCCATGCTCCTGATCAGAAGTCCTCTGAGCTCCTGCAACCTGGGCTGTTCCTCCAGCCACCGCATCTCAGGGCCAGGACACTGGAGCAGCATGAAGCAATGCCGGCCGCCCACCCACGCTTGTGTCCCTCTTCCTGTGTCCTGCTTGCTCATCACTCCTCAGTGCTCTCAACCCAGGCCAGCCCTGGGCCCAGGCACCACAGTGGAGGCGGCCTGCATGTTGTCCTTTATCAGGAATGCACGCCAGCCTCGTGGATCATGAACTCTCGAGTGCACATTCATTTAACTTGGAAAACTGCAGACCCTGGTGCTCACGAGAGTAAATGTGCACAGCGAGAGGGGAGTTCTTCACAGCAGGGTGTCAGCGCCCACCCATGGCCACCCTGAGAGCTGGCCCACAGGGCTGGCGCTCCCTCCTGCGGAACCGTGCACTCCAGAGCTGGTGCCAGCGCCCGTCCGAAGGAAGCGCACCAGAGGCCCTGAGCCAGGCGGCCCCCAGGAGAAGCAGGGTGCAGGGGAGGGCAGCGCCTCGGCCAGCATCCGAGCCCCACCGCTCACCCTGTGAACGGGCGAGGACTCGCCTGCCCCCACAGGGCTGGGCGTGAGTGCTGGTCTGAACCCCCGCAAGCCTTCCTCAGACAGTCAGTCCTGTGCCCCTACGCCAAAGGACCCCAACTCCAGACACCGAGTCCCCGTGGCTCCTCAGGAAAGGCCACCCAAGGAAGAGTGGGAGCGGGCAGCAGGAGATGGAGATCCTGAGTGTTTCTGCAGAATGGCCTGGGAACCAATGTGTCCCGCTGGGGAGGGGCCTGTGGGAAGCACCCTGTTTCCCATCTACTCCAGCTTTCACCACAAAGAAACTGAGGCTCAGACAAGAAGCTACTGTGGGGAGGTACCAGCCTCAAGCCTCACTCCCAAATCCAGGGGCCTGCCGCTGGGCTGCCCTCTGGCCACTTGGTCCCCGTCTTCCCTTCTCTGCTTCCTGCCCACTCCCATCAGCAAACACCACAGCACTGGACGCACGGCCGGTCCAGCTGGAAAGATGGCCCTGGCCCTGGCTAACGTCACCTGTGTGCCCGCGATTTAAACTGGACTTTCAGCCTCTCAATGGCCCTTTACAGCAGGCTTTACCAACCTTATTTTTCAGGTGGGGAAGCAGGCTCAGGGAGAGTCAGTAACTTGCCCTAAGTCACCCAGGAAGTGACAGAGATGGGATCCGAACCCAAAATACAGGCGGATCCTGGCCCCTGGGCAGGTTCTGACAGGTCACATCACACAGGCCCAGCTGCTCTTACATCCAGCCCTGGGCCGACACTTTCTGCCATCCCCCCACCCCAGCTGCTCTGCAATGCCCGGCTGGCGCGGAGAACAGAGTAGGCCCTCGCAAACACTCCCGCACTGCGAAGAGCCAAGCCCACCACAGTAGTGAATGTTACTATTTATATATTATTAAGCCTGACTTTTTAAAAGTGCAGTCACAACGGAAATGCCCCTGGGCACCCAATCTGCCATCGCATGACACTGCTCTTGACACTACCCATCACTGCCGCCCTGCACTCAGGGTGCAGATCACCTCTTCACGGGCATCGCCAGTGAGCTCAGCCCAAGGCTGGGGCCGAGGGGAGGCCGCGAGTCCCGTGGTCTGGGGTCAGCTCCCAATGCAGCGCCAGCCTCCAGGCTTGCAGGTCCCAGAGCCGGTCTCCTCGGCCGCCAGCAGGTGCCCCCGGGCAGGCTGGGGCCGAGGGGAGGCCGCGAGTCCCGTGGTCTGGGGTCAGTCCTCAATGCAGCGCCAGCCTCCAGGCTTGCAGGTCCCGAAGCCGGTCTCCTCGGCCGCCGGCAGGTGCCCCCGGGCAGGAGTCCCCAAGCAGGGGCTGCCCAGTCTATGGACATCCGGCCTCAGCCACCAGGGGTCCATACACCTGGCCGGCAGCCAGGAGCGACTGGAGTTTTCCCACAAAGATGTCATGAGCTCACCTGACAGAAAGCCCCCTCTCTGTGGGTGGTGGCCAGTTATTAACATCTGCTCAAGGCAGAAATTACTTTTCCTTTTCATCTCTAACACTCCGCCTTGCCCCTGCCCGGCTGGCTCCGGGAACAAACTCTGTAACAGACACAACCATCCAGAACCTGGTCCACGGCTTGAGTCTGGGACAGAGAGAAGACAGGGAGGAGACCCGGGCCCAAGGTCTGGGCTAGCTCTCTGGTACCACCTCCTTGCAGACACCCAGGCGGGGAACGCATCTGGCCACTGCCCACTTAAAACACCAATGCATGTCACTGTTTCCAAAGCAGGGTCGAGTGCAAACAGGAAGGTGTGGACACGTGGACACACACACACACACCACGATGACATCTTTGCAACGGGATCTTTCATCAGGCTGTTCACTGCAGTCTGCCGAGCGTGGGTGTAGGTTCGTGGCCACAGACCTGTCACACCTCGGGCCCTTGGCTTTGGCGACCTGCCCTCGTGGAACGGTACGGGGTCCCTGTCCACTGCCCGTTTGCTCGGCCGGGCCCCGCGAGGACAGCAGGGCGCAGGCAGAGCTCGCGCGGGCTCACGCTCATCGCGAGTGTCCAGCGGGGACAGGCACGGCTGTTCCTCAGCCCAGCTCAGAACACTGGCACTGTGTTCCCCACGTTTGTGGGCTAGATATATGACGGCCTTGTTTGCCCTGTCATTTAGGGTTCCGGCCTGGAGTCCACCAAGAGGGGAAACTTCGGGTTCTAAACATAGCCCTGAGCCCACGAGGAATTCTTGTTTCTTCAAACCTACTTGCCCGGCAACCTTGCCAATGTGCGTCCAAGGCAGCCGAGCGCGGGCTGCGGTCACTGCCGCGGCGCGTGAACGTGTGAGTGCAGGTGCCCCGTCGTGGGCAAGGCCTCTGTCCGAGCCGCCCGCTGACCACCACCTGTGTCCGGGGGCCGCCCTGCTCCGTGCAGCTCCTCACACATGGCCCAGGGCCACTCCCCCCCGCGCACCGAGTGCCTTCGGGTTGCCTGCCCCCACCCTGAGGCAGAGCACCCACCCTCCCGCTGAGGCCGAGGCCGAGGCCGCCATGGGAGGGCTTCTCATGAAGCCCAGGTGTTGACTGTGGGTTTAAAAAAATTAAACTGCTCTGAATGAATTTTAGACGTAAATTCGTAAAGAATTCCCATCGATTCTTCTCCCAGGTGCCCGCACACTGACATCGTGCCCACCACCAGGACCGGGGCGCAGGAAATCAGCGCCAGGACCGCACATCAGCCGGCTCCGGACCCTCTGGGCGCCCACCAGGTTTCCTGCTCACGTCCCTGGACCCTGCTGGTCCAGAATCCGACCCAGAGCTCGCGCTGCCTGTGGGCCCTTCTCCCGGTCGCTGCCATCTGTGCCAGCTCCTCTTCTCTCGTCTTTTGTCACCCTGACACTTTTGGAGAGAACTTATCAGTTATATGGTCCAGGGTCCCTCAGTCTGATGTTTTCTCAAGACTGGACTGTGGTTATGCATTTTCTCAGAGGAACACCACGCAGGCCACGCGTGTGACATTGCGGGGCTCACGTGAACAGGCCCGGCGACTAGCAGCGCTGACCTTGGTCAGTGACCTTGACCTCTCTGCCAGGTTTCCGCAGTGCTAAGTTACAACCTCCCGTGCAGCTCATGTCGGGCTGTGGCCTTGGAAGGGACGTGCTGCTGTCGTCACAAACTCCAGCGTCTGCCCAGCTGCAGCTGCCCCGCAGATGAGCGGCATCTCAGGAAGAGCGGAGAGCGACATCTCTGGAAGACGCCGAAGCGCTCGGTGACAGAGAGGAACAGTAGCGGTCTATTTATAGATCCACTGGAAGACAGCTCACTGTAACCACCGGAGCTGAGTTTTTTGAGCCTCGGGAACAAAGGCTGGCTATTTTAAACTCTCCTCCACTTAGTTCAATGGAGAG